CCCTTCTCTCTCCCCTCCCCGCGGGCTCGCGGGGTGGAGAAGGGATCCCGGCTCTGCCCTGGTGCGTAACCCCCCGCCTTCCCTTCCCTTCCCCCTGCCAGTGCGACGCAGACACAGCGCCCGCCCGCCGCCCTCCCCCTGCCGCGGCCCCACACTGCGCCTGCCCGCCCCGCCCGTCCCAGGCGCAGACACCCACCGCCGCGCCACGCTCACCCGCGGGCTGCGGGGAAAGCGCGGAGCGGGGCCGGGACGGAACGGGACGGGACGGGCGCTCGGAGCGCCGCGCTCTCTCTCCCCACGCGCTCCCCACCCTCAACCTTATTCCTTTTTGTTCTACGTATTTTATTTTCCCCGCGGGTTGAGAGCGGGTGGCCCCGGCTCCGCGCACGCCGCCCAGCCCCGAGCCGCGGGGACACGGCCGTCCCCAGCCCCCCCTTCCGTCCCCCCGCCGCCGCTCGGAGGAGCCGCGGCCGCCCCCGGGGAGGGGAGGAGAGGAGAGGAGGGAGCAGAGTTCAGCGCTGCGCGCGGGGGAGACAAAGTCTGGGGAGCCGTGGCCGCTTTCCAGCAACTCCGGCTGGAACAGCTGCGGTCGCTCGGGGCGGCGGGGGGGCTCCCCGGGCAGGGGCCTCGCTGGCTGCCAGCCCGACCGGCCGCGCCGCGCCTCGGGGCGGGGTTAAGCCTCATTACACGGGATTTAACGTGGCCCGGAGGCCGGGAGGGACTCCGGCTCCAAAGGGGAGCGGGGGGAAGAGGCGGAGGCGCGGCCGTACGGCCGAAGCAAAGTCCGGCCCCGGGCTTCCCCCCCCCGGGCACCGCCCTGAGGGCAGCCCTCGAGGCGCCCTGCCCGTCATCCCCCGCCCTCTTTCCGCCCGCTGCCAACGCGGGGCCCCCGGCCGGGCCTCCCCGCTCCGGTCCTCCTTCGGCCGCTTCGCCCCACGCGTGCGGAGAGACGCAGGCGGAGCGCGGCCGCTGGGTCGTGAGGTGGGGCGTGCGGGCAGAGCTGAGCTCCGCTCGGGTCGCAACTTCGGCGGACTCCAGAAATGGTGGGAAAGGATAGCGGCGGGGCTGTAGGCAACGCGCATAAAGCTGCGAGAGCCCTTCGCTGCGTTTTTCAACCCTCTGTCGTGTCGGGTTTGCTCTCTGTGTGAATCCCGGTTGATGGCACAGAGTAAGGAAGCGCGCAGGTACAGCAGCAAAGGAGGAGATGACTTTAAGTCGCGCTTCTTTGATGTAAAACCAAACACTCAGCAATCCAGACCTTATTCTGTGCTTCCTCACCAAAATTCTCACTTGTCGGCTTCAGGAATACCAAATGAAAAATGACATGCTGTGGCAAATGCAGCTTTTGCTGGCCTGTTTTCCTGGGAACTGTTTCATAACAAAAAGTCTTTGTTGGTTCAATCCCTGAGTAATTAAATGAGATCTTTGTGATACTGTCATATGTATGTGTGGAGATAAAGGTGGTTGAGTTGTCTTGGTCTGTACTCACGTGCACGTATGAAGCCATCGCATTTCTCAGCTGGGCTGTTGCTGTGATTTCCTTGGCCCTGTTGCTGAAAATGGGTTAATTTCTGCCAACTGAAAGAATGCCCTCGGAGCTCAGCATCTGTATGACAAAGTCTTTAAATTACACAGAGGTGTGCATCTTGTAGGCTTCAGATATGGGAGCTTAGATGGTTACATGTACCTAATGCATAAGAAAGTACCTCTGAATTTTGGTAATTTGGGTAAGTTAGCCTAATGTACCTGAAAACATTTAATTCTACAGCAGCCCAGGCCTGGCTGGAAGGGAAGGGTTGGGAGCAGGAAGGAAAGGGCCACAGCCTCTGCACAGCAGGAGCATCGGTGTGGCATTTGCAGGAGTCACCAGGTTGCCATCTGCTCTGGTAAAAAAAAAAAAAAAAAAAAAAAAAAGGCCATCCCCTGAAGTGGTGACTGTGCCTGTGAGGATCTGCTGCACATGCGCGGCAGCTCCAATGAGTCCAGGATGTGTCAGAGCTGCTATGCATGTGCAAATTGATTTGAGCTTGGACACGTGAGCGTGCTGTGGGCTCACATCCACTGCTAGGTGTGTGAGGGATGACTGCCACAGCCCGCAGCTGAAATACGTGCAGTTACCACGTTCACTTGGTTCACCCATTGCTGCCACGCAGATGGTGTTTAGGGCCTTCAGATCAATGCGAGCGGTTGAGCTTTGGGCAGCTTTTTGTTGTTGTTGTTGTTGTTTTTCAACAGCAGATATATGTTGACCTTTTTCTCCATTGTTTCTTACATTAATTCTGTTTCTACGTAGTTGTCACAATACCAAATCCTGGTGGAGGCAGGACCAAGCTAGCTTTGGCATTGCCTGGTCTGGGACAAGAGTACCTTAGGAGGCTGCTGTCCATTAGCTACACTGCATTATCTCCTGGCGTGTCAGGACAAAGCTGGGCAGGTCTGTTCTCTGAGCTGCTGCTGCCATTGCTGTGGCAATCAAAGGTGTGAAGGACTGAAAGCACTGAGAGCAGGAGCCCAGAGGTGGAATTGTAGCTCTGTGTTTGTAGCATTATTTATGGCAGGGGGACAGGCTGGGAGAAGTGGTGTCACCAAACGTAAATCCATGATGGGAGCACTTTGTTGATTAAGGACATTTGAACGGCTTTGTCAGGAAAAATGTTAAGTTTATATCACACTACCAGCTATAATAAATTATCTCTGCCTGGAAAATAGGCATTTTTATAACAAAGGCATAATACTAAATGAACGCGTCCTCTGATTTACCGAATGCAAAGAGATCTTCCAGCTCACTGTAAACTAACTCAGATGAAACTGACATTTCTTTTCTCTTTTTTTTTTTTTCTTAAACTTCTAAGGGCAGGCAGCTTCAAAACTTTCAGCTGCAGTTTTACCTTCTGTTCTTCCTGAAATAAGCATTTCTTGGTATTGGTGTTCTTGGTATTGTTCCTAAAATATAAGTGAGACCCTGGTGGTACTGATTAAACGAGGCATGTTTGCAGTTCTGACTTAAGGGCATCTTCAGTTGTCCCAGTGTGCTCAATGGGAAACAGTGATGTTTTCATTTGTAATAATAGAACAAGTTGAAGACGGCACGTTGCATTAAACCAGCTAGTTAAGGGGAAGGATCTTGGTTTGGAAATCATTGAAGGAAAGTGACAACTGCTATGTAAATATGCTTGTTATGTAAATACCAGTCTCACTATTATACAACTAAAAGAGTCTATCCAACAAATAGTGAGATATAAGATCACTCTGGATTCTATCTGGAATGCAATCCAGACACTTTTATGACATTAATTCAAACTCTGACAGTTTAATGGTTGTTCAGTTGTGCACTGTAGTCAACATCAGCTTACTGCAACGAACTGCATGGAAAGCTGCTGAGTCCGGTGCCAGATCCATGGTGTGACAGTGGCAAAGTGCAGGGAAAGGTGCAGTGTGTAAAGCCATGTTAAAGTCTAAGCTCCCCATCCCCTGCCTGCTTTAACATGATTAGTTTAGTATGTGTTAAAGGCAGGCAGCCTTGCCTGCGCTGTGTTGCATGTGCTATCATCACACCTTTACACCTTAGTCTCGCCAAAGCCTGAGGCTTTTTCATCATATTAAGCTACTTTGACTGGGCTAATGTAACTGAGAAACACACCTATTTCATCCAGTAAGATGGGGCCAAAAATGCTAAGTGCTTAAGATGCAAGCCCTCGGGGCTTGTCTGTATATCGAGTTATTACACGTGGAGACTTTTATCTTCATAAGAAAATGTTCTTTTTGTGCATGCCAAAGTGTGAGTTTAAAAGTGGTGGTTATTTTCTAACCCTCGTGCAGGGCTCACTCATTCTGCAACTTCTGGCTTTTTTCAGATTAACTTCTTCCAAGTAATTTAAGTTAAGTCAAAAAAGGTGCTCATATCAGATGAAGTTTGCATACAGGGAATCACTTGCCTGCACTGCAGTGGTAGTAACTGATTGCATAAATAACTTCACTGAAGTCCACTGCTTCCTGATGAAAGTTTGTTCTGTGCTTAAGGGTTTGCAGAACCGTGTAAATTCTCCCTGAACTTGCAATTTCTATCACTTGTTCTTGTATTGTAACGATGGACTGTGCTACATTATGTGGTGTTTTGTTATTTGGAGTCTCTAAATCATCCACAAGTTACTTAGGAACTTCAGTCTGTTCCATCTTTGCTGTTTGTCTGATTGGTGGCAACGCATGCATTGCTTACGACTTCATGAAACTAAAATGTTATAACCATTAATGCTCTGAATTTTAGTTTTGACATAACTGTGGTGGTGGGTGGTCGAGAGGGAAATTTGTGGGAAATATTACTCGTCGTATGAGTCTGGTTTTTTAATCCAGAAGTGCAGATTGCCAATGGTTTGAGTAAAATCCAATTAGCAGCTGAAAGCAGGACATCCCTTGGGTTGAATGCTGGCAGCATCACAGGTATGTGCAGGCCAGGAAA